AGGAGGTGACCTGTGAGCTGGGCCTGGATCTCCTGGGCTATGGCACCTTTTACCTCCTGCTAAATTAGCCTGTCCTGCCCTGGCATTCATTTTTTTCATTCACAGAACACTGACTCTGGGTTCGTTTGTTTGAAACAGGGTCTTGCTTTGTCATGCAGGCTGGAGTGCAGTGGTGTGATCAAGGCTGACTACAGCTTCAACCTGGGCTCAAGCAAGCCTCCCACCTCAGCCTCCTACCTCACCCTCCCAAGTACCTAGGACTGCAGATGCACACCACCATGCCCAGCGAGTTTTTTGTATTTTTGGTAGAGACGGGGTTTTGCCATGTTGCCCAGGCTGCTCTCAAACTCCTAGGCTCAAGTGATCTGCCTGCCTCGGCCTCCGCAAGTGCTGGGATTACAGGCGTAAGCTACTACCTGGCCAACTCTGAGTTTGAAGAGCAAGCCCAGTTTCTTTCTTTCTTTTTTTTTGAGACGGAGTCTTGCTCTGTCGCCTAGGCTGGAGTGCAATGGCACGATCTCGGCTCACTGCAACCTCCACCTCCTGGGCTCAAGCGATTCTCCTGCCTCAGCCACCTGAGTAGCTGGGACTATAGGCGCATGCCACCATGCCCGGCTAATTTTTGTATTTTTAGTAGAGACGAGGTTTCACCACTTTGGCCAAGATGGTCTCAATCTGCTGACCTCGTGATCCACCCGCCTCGGCCTCCCAAGTGCTGGGATTACAGGTGTGAGGCACCGCGCCCGGCCATTTCTTTTAGGAGTTCCCAGTTTTGTGGAGGAGACAACCCCAACATACAGAATCAGAGACCTAGGAAGTGTGGGCAAGGAAGGCTGATAAGTGAGAAACACCCATTTCTTGAGTCCTTAATATTCACCACATGCCTTACAACATTTTATTTAATCCTGACATCTCTCTGAGGTAGACTTTTTTTTTTTTTGAAACAGGGTCTCACTCTATTGCCCAGGCTGGAGTGCAGTGGCGTAATCTTGGCTTACTGTAACCTCTGCCTCCTGGGCTCAAGCAATCCTCCCACCTCAGCTTCCTGAGTAGCTGAGACTACAGGCGCACACTACCATGCCTGGCTAATTTTTTGTATTTTTGGTAGAGACAAGGTTTTGCTATGTTGCCTAGGCTGGTCTTGAACTCCTGGGCTCGAGCAGTCTGCCTGCCTCGGGCTCCCAAAGTGCTGGGATTACAGGCGTGGGCCACCATGTCTGGCTGTAGTTATTCATCTTTTATTTTTATTACTTTTTATTTTTATTATTATTTTTTTGAGATGGAGTTTCGCTCTTGTTGCCCAGGCTGGAGTGCAATGGCGCAATCTCGGTTCACTGCAGCCTCTGCCTCCTGGGTTTAAGCAATTCTCTTGCCTCAGCCTCCTGAGTAGCTGGGATTACAGGTGCGTGCCACCACGGCCCGGCTAATTTTTGTGTTTTTAGTAGAGACGGGGTTTCGCCATGTTGGCCAGGCTGGTCTTGAACTCCCAGCCTCAGGTGATCTGCCCGCCTCGGCCTCCCAAAGTGCTGGGATTACAGGCGTAAGCCACTGTGCCCAGCCCTATTCATCTTTTATTGACTAGCACATTGAGGCCCAGAGAGGTGAATGACCTTGTCCATGGTTACACAGCTAGACAGTGCTGGAGCTGGAATTCAAATCCAAGAGCATCTGACTCCAGAGGGAACTGCATTTTCTTTCTTTTCTTTTCTTTTCTTTTTTCTTTTCTCTCTCTCTCACTTTTTTTTTTTTGAGACAGGATATCACTCTGTTACCCAGACTGGAGTGCAGTGGCATAATCATGGCTTGTTGCAACCTCTGCCTCCTGGGCTCAAGCGATCCTCCTGCCACAGCCTCTTGAGTAGCTGGGATCACAGGTGTGTGTCACCACACCTGGCTAATTTTTTTTTAAAATTGTACTTACTTCCTTTTTTTTTTTGAGATGGGGTCTCTCTCTGTCCCTCAGGCGGGAGTGCAGTGGCGCGATCTTGGCTCACTGGAACCTCCGCCTCCTGTGTTCAAGCAATTCTCCTGCCTCAGCTTCCCAAGTAGCTGGGATTACAGGTGCCCACCACCATGCCCAGCTTTTTTTCTGTATTTTTAATAAGGACGGGGTTTCTGCATGTTGGCCAGGTTCATCTCAAACTCCTGAACTCAAGCAATCCACCCACTGTGGCCTCCCAAAGTGCTGGGATTATAGACGTGAGACACCACGCAAGGCCGGGAACTGCATTCAATAGTGTGGAAGTTTGGAAGCTCATACAGCCTCTGAGTAGTTAGTATGATTGGACTAGAGGGTGAGATGAGGGATATGGCAAGAAGTGAAGCCAGGGAGGAGGACAGGACCTATGGGCAGGGCCTACATCCTAGATGGTGTTGAAGTTAGGCGAAGGGTGCACGGGAGCCAGAGCAGGGCTTTGAGCAGGGGAGGGATGTGGCCACTTGTAGCAAGGAGATGTAGCAGTTGCATCACTGGGGGCTGTATTTGTCAGGATGCTTTTGACTGCAAGTAACAGGAACCCAATTCAATGAGGTTTAAACATCGAAGAAAATGTGTTATCTTCCAGAACATCTTGAGGCAGCATGGCTCCAGGGAAGATTAATTTAGGGGCTCATGGTATCATCGAAAACTCAGGTCTCTCTATCTTTCTGCTTCACCATCTTCAATGTGTGGACCCCAACCTTTATGGTCAAAAAGTAGGCCGGGCACAGTGGCTCACGCCTGTAATCCCAGCACTTTTGGAGGCCGAGGCCGGCAGAGCACCTGAGGTCAGGAGTTCAAGACCAGTCTGGCCAATATGGCGAAACCCCATCTCTACTAAAAATACAAAAATTAGCTGGGTGTGGTGGTACGCACCTATAATCCCAGCTACTTGGGAGGTTGAGGCAGGAGAATTGCTTGAACCTGGGAGACAGAGGTTGCAGTGAGCAAATATTGCACCACTGCACTCCAGCCTGGGCGACAGAGTGAGACTCTGTCTCAAAAAAAAAAAAAAAGAAAAAAAAAGTAGCTGTCGTTGTGCTAGTACCAAGCTCCCTCCTAGCAACTTTGAAAGGTGAAAGGAGGAGAAAAGGAAGGCAGTGTTTTTTTCATCACATCTCATTGGCCAGAACTGTATTGTTTGCCCCTTTCTAAACCAATCCCAAGCAAGAAGGATGAAATGATCATGATTAGATTTGACCAATCAAGGTTCTCCCTCTAAGCTGGGGAGAAGCTGAGCCTCTAGGACTCAGGCTTCTCTTAGCAAAGGAAAAAGAGGGGAGATGGTTTTCGGCTGTCAAGTAGGCTGTGACATGTCCCACTTCCGCTGCCCTTTGAGACACAATCCAATAGTCAGTCGTGGGGTAAGTCGTTGCTGCAGTGATAAGTCATTTGAGTCCTAGTCCCCAAAAGTCAGACCTAGGTTTGCTTCTTCCAAAAAAACCTGGCCCTGCTTTCTTTCAACATTGCTTCTATTCCAACCCTAATAGGGTTTGTAACTCCCTCTCTCTTTTGCCCCCGTTTGCTTTGAATACTATCTGAGCCTCAGAGGCATCTCCTGCGACAGAAATAGCTTCTTATCTGGTTCTTCCAGGGAGGTGGGCCAAGAGTTCCTAACTCCTTCCTGGGCTGTCCACTCACAGGGCATGTTGGCTGGGCTTTGACTGCAGACGTCAGATAGCTAGCAAGTCAGATGGCCCTGGGAGCAGGTGTGGTTGAGAGCAGAGGAAGAGAGGCTGCAGAGGAAGAGAGGCTGCCCAAAGGCTAGCAGGCATCAGGCACCCATAGAGGCTATATCCTTGTTGGGAGAAGAGAGACAAGGTCTTGGGAAAGTCATCTTTTTTTTTTTTTTGAGACAATCTCACTTCATTGTCCAGGCTGGAGTGCAGTGGTGCAATCTTGGCTCATTGCAACCTCTGCTTCCCATGTTCAAGTGATTTTCATGCCTCAGCCTCTCAAGCAGCTGGGATTACAGGCATGCAGCACCCCGCCCAGCTAACGTTTGTATTATTAGTAGAGACAGGGTTGCACCATGTTGGCCAGACTGGTCTCGAACTCCTGACCTCAAGTGATCCACACTGCCTCGGCCTCCCAAAGTGCCGGAATTATAGGTGTGAGCCACCATGCCCAGCCTGGGAAAGTCTTTTTTTTTTTTTTTTGAGACAGAGTCTTGCTCTGTTGCCCAGGCTGGAGTACAGTGGCGCGATCTTGGCTCACTGCAACCTCCTCCTCCCAGTTTCAAGTGATTCTCCTGCCTCAGCCTCCCCAGTAGCTGGGATTACAAGTGCGAGCCACCACGCCCGGCTAATTTTTGTATTTTTAGTAGAGACGGGGTTTCACCATGTTGGTCAGGCTGGTCTCGAACTTTTGACCTCAAGTGATCCGCCTGCCTTGGCCTCCAAAAGTGCTAGGATTATAGGTGTGAGCCACCACGCCCAGCCTGGGAAAGTCTTTTAACCACCTTCTTGTATACACTGTCTAGGAGTTCAAGACCAGCAACATGGTGAGACTCCATCTCTACAACAAATTAATAGCTTGGTGTGGTGGTGCATATCTGTAGACCCAGCTACTTAGGGAGCTGAGGTGGGAGGATTGACTGATCTGGGAGACTGAGGCTGGAGTGAGCTGTGATAGCACCACGGCACTCTAGTCTGGGTGACAGAGAGAAACTGTTTCAAAAAGAAAAAAAAAAAGTCACATGGCCACACCTCACTGCAAAGGAGGCTGGGAAATAGAGTCTTTCTTCCAGTGGCTGTGTGTCTATCAACCACAGGGAAAATGAGAGAAGGGATATAGGCAGGCCCTATCTCTATATAGGGATAGAGAAAAGGGATACGGTATTTTCTGCTCCACTGCCCCATCAGAGACTTTAACCTAGAAGAATTTGTTAATATCACTATTGGACTCTTGCTTACTAAAGGTCTAATAGTGACACTGGACACTCTTAATAAATTAGTGACAATTGTGATATGTGCTGGGAGCCCATGTCACAGTGGTGACTGCTGATGTCTCTCCCAATCAGTCAAGTATATGAAGGACGTCTCACCGTATTTCAAGAACTCTGCTGGTGGGACCTCGGTCGGCTGGGACTCACCTCCCGCCTCACCCCTTCAGCGGCAGCCTTCCTCCCCTGGCCCCACACCCCAGAACCTCAGCGAGGCCAAACACGTGTCCTTGAAGATGGCATATGTCTCGAAGAGGTGCACCCCCACTGACCCGGAGCCCAGGTAAGGCTGGGCTGGGGGGCAACTCAGACAGACAGATGCCCTGGTGTCAGGTGGTAGGACCAACGGAAAGACACCTCTGTGTTGTATGAATGACCAGCATGATGCCAGAACATAGTAGGTGCTTAAAAGATAGATTGACTGGAAGCATGAGTGAAGCTATGGAGATGATGGTGTGCTTTGCTTCTCACTTCTTCCTCTGGGCAGCTCACATATGGGGATGAACTTGGTCTGGGGAAGAACCCTGTGTTCCAGTCCTGGTTCTCTTTGAACTAGGCCCTTTTCCTCACTGACCTTTAGATTATCCATTGTGAGATAAGGTTATTAGACTCACCGATCCTCTCGTCTCTTCTTACTCTGCTTGAGCTCTGAGATGTCTGGTTTTATCAGGGCCATGGACGGTTACATCCTTCACATCTGAGCAGCCTTTAACAGTTCATTGATAATATTGATACCACCAAACATTTACTGAGTATATACTGTGTACCCAGCACTGTGCTGAGTGCTTTCCATGTGCAGTATTATTTAGCTCTCACAGAGGCCCAATGGGCAAAGTCCTATTATTTCACCTCCTTTTTATTTTATTTTATTACTATTTTTGAGCCAGAGTTTCGCTCTGTCACCCAGGCTGGAGTGCAGTGGTGCAATGATCTTGGCTCACTGCAATCCTGCCTCCTGGGTTCAAATGATTCTCCTGCCTTAGCCTCCCAAGTAGCTGGGACTACAGGTGCCCGCCACCACACCTGGCTAACTTTTTTTTTTTTTTGACAGAGTCTCACTGTGTCGCCCAGGCTGGAGTGCAATGGTGTGATCTTGGCTCACTGCAACCTCCGCCTTCTGGGTTCAAGCAATTCTCCTCCCTCAGCCTCCCAAGTAGCTGGGATTACAGGCGCCCGCCACCATGCCTGGCTAATTTTTTGTATTTTTAGTAGAAACGGGGTTTCTCCATGTTGGTCAGGCTGGTCACGAACTCTTGACCTCAGGTGATCTGCCTGCCTCGGCCTCCCAAAGTGCTGGGATTATAGGCGTGAGCCACTGTGCCCTGCCTAACTTTTGTATTTTTTGTAGAGATGGGGTTTCACCATGTTGGCCAGGCTGGTCTCGCACTCCTGACCTCAGGTGATCTGCCTGCCTCGGCCTCCCAAAGTGCTGGGATTACAGGCATGAGCCATCGTTCCCAGCTCACCTCCATTTTATAGATGAGGACAGAGAGGGGAAGTAACCTGCTTGAGATCACACAACCAGAAAGGGTCGTGCTTGCCTCATTCCTGGTAGTCCTTTCTGCTTTGGAAGTTGCAAGATGCCTGAGTGATGGTGGTGGCTGAATGGCGCATATTTGGTCAAGTGGGATATGCAGTGTTGGAGGTGATGCTTAAGTGGTATATGCATTACAAGCTTGGGCTGTGGGTCCTAGTGACAGCCAGGGTTCAATGCCAAGCAAATGCCCAACATTGGCTGGGAGGGCTGGTTAATAATGTCCAGTATCCAAATCTCTTGGTCTCACTTGATGCCACACCTCTTGCCTGCCCCCATGAGGCAAGACCTGGTGATTCACAGGTCACTTGCAGATGCTCTACAGAAGAGCCTTTGTTTTTGTTTTTGTTTCTGAGATGGAGTCTCGCTCTGTTGCCCAGGCTGGAGTGCAGTGGTGAAATCTTGGCTCACTGCGGTCCCCTTCTCCTGGGTTCAAGCGATTCTCCTGCCTCAGACTTCCCAAGTAGCTGGGATTACAGGCACCTGTCAACATGCCTGGCTAATTTTTTTTTGTATTTTAGCAGAGACGGGTTCACCATGTTGCCCAGGCTGGTCTTGAATTCCTGAGCTCAGGCATTCTGCCTGCCTCGGCCCCCCAAAGTGCTAGGATGACAGGCATGTATCCGGCTGTATTTTTTACTAGAGATGGGGTTTCACCACATTGGCTAGGCTGGTCTCAAAGTCCTGACCTCAAGATCCATTCACCTTGGGCTCCCAAAGTGCTGGGATTACAGAGGTGAGACACCATGCCTGGCCCGGAAGGGCCTTTTGTGAGGGTGAAGGTGAGGTAGTATTAGTCCTTTCAGAGACTCATAGAACCTTAGATTCCCAGCCTGATCCCAGACATTACCTGAAACATGTGTGTATATGTTTCTAAGTGTGTGCACATGTAGATGACATGTAAATGCAAGTGTTTGTATGTATATGTGAGAGCATTTGCATGTGAGTATAGATTTGTGTGTGTTTATGTTATTTGTATGTGTGTATGCACATATGTGTCTGCATGTGTGTTTGAACATGTACATGCCTGAGTATATATGTAATCTGAATATAACTGGGGTTCCATATGGCCCACTGTCAGTGCAGTATCCCAGTCATAGGGATACAGCCTGGCAACCAAAATATAATGAAAACTACTTCAAACTTTTACTCAATGTTAGGATTGCACTGGGCTGCAAGTGTAGAAACTCCAACAAGAAATTACTTAAGTAAAAGGGGTTAATTTTCCCACGTTTAAAAAAAGTCCAGGGGTCAGCTATTCCGGCTGCTGTAGATGCTCCAGGATGCCATCAAGGAACCAGGCTTCTAACTTCCTGCTCTGCCATTTTAATTATGGGCGGTTTTCTTCTTTGTGGAGGCAGGATGGTGGCTGCATCCCAAGAATTGTGTTCATATTCCAGGCAGAAAGAAGACAAAAGCCAAAGTCTTTTCTCCTGGTATTTTGGCTATCTGTTGCTATATCACAAACCATTCCTAAAATTTAGTGGTTTAGAAAACAATAATTTATTATTTCTTTTTTTTTTTTTTTTGAGACGGGGGATCTCACTCTGTCACCCAGGCTGGAGTGCAGTGGTGCAAACTCAGCTCACTGCAACCTCCACCTCCCGGGATCAAGTGATTCTGGTGCCTCAGCCTCCCAAGTAGCTGGGACTACAGGTGCCCGCCATGACGTCTGGCTAATTTTTTTGTGTTTTTAGAAGAGATGGGGTTTTGCCCTGTTGGCTAGGCTGGTTTTGAATTCCTGGCCTCAAGTGATCTGCCCGGCTCAGTCTCCTAAAGTGCTGGGATTATAGGTGTGAACCACCATGCCTGGCCTCAAACCTCTTTAGTTTAGTTTTGTTGTGGTTGTTTGTTTTTGTTTTTGTTTTTTCTTTTTTTTTTTTTTTTTGAGACGGAGTCTCGCTCTGTCGCCCGGGCTGGAGTGCAGTGGCCGGATCTCAGCTCACTGCAAGCTCCGCCTCCCGGTTTACGCCATTCTCCTGCCTCACCTCCCGAATAGCTGGACTACAGGCGCCCGCCACCTCGCCCGGTAGTTTTTTGTATTTTTTTTGTAGAGACGGGGTTTCCCGTGTTAGCCGGATGTCTCGATCTCCTGACCTCGTGATCCGCCCGCCTCGGCCTCCCAGAGTGCTGGGATTACAGGCTTGAGCCACCACGCCCGGCCTGTTTTTGTTTTTTAGATGGAGTTTCACGCTTGTTGCCCAGGCTGGAGTGCAATGGCACAATCTCAGCTCACTACAACCTCCACCTCCCGGGTTCAAGCGATTCTCCTGACTCAGCCTCCCTAGTACCTGGGATTACAGTCATGCACCACCATGCCCGGCTAATTTTGTGTTTTTAGTAGAGATGGGGTTTCTCCATGTTGGTCAGGCTGGTCCTGAACTCCTGACCTCAGGTTATCTGCCTGCCTTGGCCTCCCAAAGTGCTGGGATTACAGGCGTGAGCCACCGTGCCCGGTCTGTTTTTCTGTGTTTTTTTTTTTTTTTTTTTTGAGACGGAGTTTCACACTTGTTGCCCAGGCTGGAGTGCAATGGTGCGATCTCGGCTCACCGCAACCTCCACCTCGCAGGTTCAAGCGATTCTCCTGCCTTAGCTTCCCTAGTAGCTGGGATTATAGGCATGTGCCACCACGCCCAGCTAATTTTGTATTTTTAGTAGAGACGGGGTTTCTCCATGTTGGTCAGGCTGGTCTTGAACTCCGACCTCAGGTGATCCACCTGCCTCGGCCTCCCAAAGTGCTGGGATTACAGGCATGAGCCACTGCGCCCGGCCTGTTTTTCTGTTTTTTAAGATGAGATCTTGTGCTGTCATCTAGGCTGGAGTGCAGTGGCACCCTTATAGCTCACTGCAGCCTCAAACTCCTGGGCTCAAGTGATTCTCCTGCCTCAGCCTCTAAGTAGCTGGGACTACAGGCACATGTCACCATGCTTGGCTAACTAAAAAAAAAAAATTTTTTTTGGGCCGGGCGCAGTGGTTCATGCCTGTAATCCCAGCACTTTGGGAAGCCGGGGCGGGCGGATCATGAGGTTAGGAGATCGAGACCATCCTGGCTAACACGGTGAAACCCCGTCTCTACTAAAAATGCCAAAAATTAGTCAGGCATGCTGGCAGGTGCCTGTAGTTCCAGCTACTCAGGAGGCTGAGGCAGGAGAATGTCATGAACCTGGGAGGCGGAGCTGGCAGTGAGCAGAGATTGTGCCACGGCACTCCAGCCTGGATGACAGGGCGTGACTCCATCTCATAGAAAAAAAAAATTTTTTTTTTTTTTCTTTTTTAGAGATGAGTGTCTCACTTTGTTGCTCAGGGTGGTCTCGAACTCCTGGGCTCAAGCCATCCTCCTGGCTTAGTCTCCCGGAGTTCTGGGATTACAGGCATGAGCCACCATGCCCAGCCTTGTTTATTTTTTTTTTTTTTCCTGCTCTTATTAGTGAATTAGTTCGGTTCTGTGCAACAAGGAGAACCTGGGAGCTGGCCCAGAAGAGGATGTTCCTTAGAAACCAGGAGAAAGGGGCAAGATTAGGAATGGTCACACAGCAATAATTTAGGCCCCATCACACCATCGTGCATGTTTGAGTGTGTGTGTGTATTTGTGTGTATATGCATATGTGTAGGCCAGGCACGGTGGCTCATGTCTGTAATCCCAGCATTTTGCAGGGCAAGGCAGGCTAATCATTTGAGGTCAGGAGTTCGAGACCAGCCTGGCTAAGATGGTGAAACCCCATCTCTACTAAAAATAAAAAAAATAAGGCCGGGCACGGTGGCTCATGCCTATAATCCCAGCATTTGGTAGGCCGAGGCGGGTAGATCACGAGGTCAGGAGATCAAGACCATCCTGGCCAATATGGTGAAACCCCATCTCTATTAAAAATACAAAAATGATCTGGGTGTGGTGGCGTGCACCTGTAATCCCAGCTTCTTGGGAGGCTGAGGCAGGAGAATCGCTTGAACCTGGGAGGCGGAGATTGCAGTGAGCCGAGATTGGGGCATTGCAGTGCAGCCTGGGTGACAGAGTGAGGCTCTGTTTCAAAAACAAAATCCCCACAAAATACATGAATATGTATGTGTGTCTCACACTTTCTTGTCCCTATGCCCCATGAGGCCACAGCAACTGCGGCTGGAGCCCAGCAGTGAGGGTCGCTCCTGATTCTCAGGGACATCCCCCTGGTTTCTTCTGGTTTGGTGGTGGGTGCGGTTTCTTGGGCCAGGGTTGGGCAGCTGCAGCCTAGTGGTCAGGTCCTTGCCTCCACCCATTTGTGCCTGCAGGTATCTGGAGATCTGCTCGGCAGAAGGCCAAGACACCCTCTTCCTGAGGGCCAAGGATGAGGCCAGCGCGAGGTCGTGGGGGAGTGCCATCCAAGCCCAGGTCAACGCTCTGATGCTGCGGGTCAAGGATGAGCTGCAGGCACTGCTGGCAGCCACCAGCACAGCTGCCAGCCAGGACATCAAGCAGATTGGCTGGCTGACTGAGCAGGTGCCTGCTGGGCCTGGGACCTATCCCTCCCTCTCTTCTGCTCCTTTGGAGCTGGCCCTGTTCCCAGTGCCCCGGCTACCTTGCCCCACCCTGGCCCTCTGCCCTCTCTTCCCCCACCCATCCTTACTGCTGTTTTGTCCCCTGCAGCTGCCCAGTGGGGGCACGGCCCCCACCCTGGCCCTGCTGACTGAAAAGGAACTGCTCCTCTACTCTTCTCTCCCTGAGACCCGCGAGGCCCTGAGCCGGCCAGTCCGTACTGCCCCACTCATCGCCACCAGGTACCCATGGGCAGGGGCAGTATGTCTCCCCCAGAACTTGCCGGGAGATGCTCCAGCAGGGCCCCAGAAGCTGGAAACTCCAGCCCTGTCCACCCTCAGCTATTCCCCAGGTGACCTGAAGCAAGTCTCTGCCCTGTCTGGGCCTCAGTTTCCTTATCTGTAAAATGGGTGCTTGGAACAAAAGGACATAAGGTCCCCGCTAGCCACTCATTCATTGACACTTATGCCTTATGCTGCATGGGTCAGAGGGCACAGAGCTGACCCCAACAGTCGCTGCCTCCAGAGAGAACCTTGTCTGATTGGGGAGACAGACCCAGGAACAGCCATTACAGTGCAGAGTTTGTAGGAGCCACTTAACTCTGTAGGGGTAGTTGAGGAACGCTTCAGGGAGGAGGTGACATCTGAGCTGGACTTTGATGGATGAGTAGAAGTTTTCTGTTTAAGAAAGGGTGAAAGAGCATCCCATGCAGAGAGAACATCATGGTCAAAGGTACAGAGGCATGAAGGGCTATAGCGTGTTCATGGGGCTATGAGTTTGTGATAACCAGAATTCATGCAGGAAATGGAGAGAAGGGAGTTGGCAGGGCCTGATCTTGCAGAGCTTCTTTTGCCTGATTAAGGAATGTTAGCTTTATCTTAAGAGTTTGGCAGTGTTGAAGGGTTTAAGCTGGGGAGCGAGGTGCTCTGGTTGCTTTAAGAGAATCCCTGTGGCTGCCACGTGGAAAATGCAGCGGAGAGTGCAGGATGGAAGTGGGGAAGCGCTGCAGTCGTGCAGGAGAGATGATGGTGGCTGGGGGAGGTGGAAGTGGGCGGCAGGAGCAGATGGAGAAGAAAGGCAGCATTGGCATTGGAAACCACATGGGTGTAAAATTAACAGGGCTCCGTGCTTGCCAGATGGGGCGGGTGAAGGAGGGGTCTGGAATGAACAGGAGGTTTGGAGCTGGTGTCTGGGTGAGCGTGGGACTGGGGGTGGGGGTGGAAAGGGAGGAGGCTGGAGCAAGATGCTGAGTCAAGTCCAGAGTGTGTGTGGGATGGAGAGGGAGCTTGGATAGGAAGCTTGGGGACTCAGGGGTCTGCAGCTCAGGGCTGGAAAGTGGAAGGCTGGCGTCAGCAGAAGTCTGGGGGGGAAGTGAGCTATAGGAGAAAGAGTGGGTGAAGGGAGGAACAAAGAGGGATATGGGGCAGAACTCTTAGGTCTGCCCCAGAGAGGGGCAGTTGGCTTACCAAGGCCACACAGCAAGTGACAGTCAAGCTGCAGGGGTCTGAAGTCCTTGTCACCCATGTCTCCTTACCTCAGGCTGGCTCTGGCCCATGTGTCAGGAGCCTGCTGGCTACTAGGGATAATTAGGTCCTGGATTGTCTACCTAATCAAGTGATTCAAGTCAGGCAACAAATGTTTATTGAGCCTCTACTGTGGTCAGGCATAGTTTTACTTAATGGGAATACAGTGGTGAACGCAAGATCAACATTTCTAACCTAGCTGACATCCTAGTGAAAAAGACAGTGAAAAACCAACAAAAACAAATAATAAAAAGTATAATTTCTGGTACCATGATGAAAAAGTAAGGCTAGTGAGTGACAAGGGTGCTATTTTGGACTGGCAGGCCAGGGAAAGCTTCTCAGAGGAGGTGACATTTAAACTAACATCTGAAGGAAGTGAGGGAGTGAGCCATGGAGATAATCAGGGAAGCGTGTATAGGCAGAGGGAACAGCATACGCAGAGGTGCTGAGGCAGGCGTGTGCTAGGTGTGTGTGAGGACACCAGTGTAGCCGGAGCCAAGGGAGCGACAGGGAGGGTGGCAGGAGATGTCTCCTGCTGAGTCAATCAGTGCCCCCTGGCAAGTCCTGTCCTGTTAGGTGGTAAAGGATTTACAGGGTTTTTCCCAGGTCATTGGCCCCTTTGCCCAGAACTATTTGCCCCCTGCCCGAGGCCTCATGCTCAGCCCTCTGCCCCTCACCCCCAGACTGGTGCACTCAGGCCCCTCCAAGGGCTCAGTGCCCTACGATGCAGAGCTCTCTTTTGCCCTGCGCACGGGCACGCGTCACGGTGTGGACACTCACCTGTTCAGCGTGGAGTCACCGCAGGAGCTGGCTGCCTGGACCCGCCAGCTGGTGGATGGCTGTCACCGGGCCGCCGAGGGTGTGCAGGAGGTGTCTACAGGTGTGCTGGGAGGATCTGGGAGTGTCCCTCTGGTAATGAGCCTCTTATCCCCAGGGGCATTCAAGCTTCCTTCTTTAGGGCACTTCAGGAGGGGACAGAAAATGGGGTTTGGAGGTTAAGGTGGGTGGATCACCTGAGGTCAGAAGTTTGAGACCAGCCTGGCCAACATGGCAAAACCCCATCTCTACTAATAATACAAAAATTGGCTGGGTGTGGTGCCTCATGCCTGTAATCCCAACATTTTGCGAGGATGAGGCAGGTGGATCACTTGAGGTCAGCAGTTGAAGACCAGCCTGGCCAAAATGGTGAAACCCTGTCTCTACTAAAAATACAAAAATTAGCCAGGTGTGGTGGCAGGTGCCCGTAGTCCCAGCTACTCAGGAGGCTGAGGCAGAAGAATTGCTTGAATCTGGGAGGCGGAGGTTGTAGTGGTCCCAGATTGCACCACTGCACTCCAGCCTGGGCAACAGAGCAAGACTCTGTCTCAAAAAAAAAAAAATAATAATAATACAAAAATTAGCTGGGCATGGTAGTAGGTGCCTGTAGTCCCAGCTATGCAGGAAGCTGAGGAACAAGAATCGCTTGAACCCGGGAGGTGGAGGTTGTGGTGAGCTGAGATTGTGCCCGCTGCACTCCAGCCTGGGTAACAGAGTGAGACTGTTTCTCCAAAAAAAAAAAAAAAAAGGAAGTTGGGTTTGGGCCCTCTGTTTTGGATGTGCAGGTGCCCTGGCAGGCAGAGACTCTTCTCCCTGGGGTTTTCTTGCTCCAGCTTTGTCAATCTGCTGGTGAGGATGTGAGAGATGGCACTTGGGGTAGGGTTGCCAGAGGAAATACAGGACACCCAGCCTCATTTGAATTTCAGGTTAACAATGAATACTTTTTTCATAGAAGTATGCCCAAATTAGTCATTGTTTATCTGAAATTTAAATTTAGCTGGGCAACTCTGCAGGTCTCCAAGGGCGGTGCTTGGTCGATCTGATGATGCCTTTATCAGGAGTGAGCCTCCAGTCCATGGCAGATTTTAAGCTCCCCCTTTCTACTTGTGGACTGGAAGTGGGTGTAGGTCCTCTGAGGGTGGGGGTGATGACTCTCTGCAGGGTGGGTGTACAGGTGCCACGACAAACAGTGAGCCTCCCGTCCCTGGAGGCATTCAGGCCGCACTTTGTAAGCTGCGGTGGGGGTTGGAGGTTGGGGTGTAGTGTCTGAGGTGCCAGCTGTGCCTGTACCTATGTGCCCTCCCTGCAGCCTGCACATGGAACGGGCGTCCCTGCAGCCTGTCTGTGCACATCGACAAGGGCTTCACACTGTGGGCGGCTGAGCCAGGTGCAGCCCGAGCTGTGCTCCTGCGACAGCCCTTCGAGAAGCTGCAGATGTCTTCAGATGATGGTGCCAGTCTCCTTTTCCTGGACTTTGGAGGTGCTGAAGGCGAGATCGTGAGTGAGGGGCTGCCTTTGCACCCTGGGGAGGAGGGGGTATGCACTCTTGGAGGCCAGGCTGGCCAGGGCCCTGACTCTTCTCTCCATCCACCCTGCAGCAGCTGGACCTGCACTCGTGTCCCAAAACCATAGTCTTCATCATCCACTCCTTCCTCTCGGCCAAAGTCACCCGCCTTGGGCTATTGGCCTAGAAGTCACCGGATGCGCTAGCCCTGAAGAGGGGTATCCATGACATGGCCTGAGCTGGGCCTCCACCGACTGCCTGCTCACCCCTGGGCTGAGGGAAGGGAGAGGAGAGGAACAAGGGCCTCTGAGACCCCACCCCTGAGGGAGACTGGATTGGTCTTGGGGCCCGGGGCCCAGGACCCAGACCCAGGACAGAGTGGACTCTGCCTGTGATGGGGTGGCCCTCCTGCTGCCCCCCACCACCAGTGCCTTTTGCGGAGAGATATTTTGTGTACACAGAAGCCATTCCGAGTCTGGGACCTGCCCCTGTGCGGATCCTGACCCCAGCCAACAGCTGAGCTGCCAGGCCTCCTCGAGGCCCCTAAGCCACCCCTAGAGGTCCCATCTGAAGCTGGAGTCCCCTGGGGTCAGCGGCAAGAGAAACAAGAGGAGACTTTGTTTGTTTTTCCCCTCAGCCCTGCCACCTTGGGGAGTCTGGTTTTTCTCTTCATCCTCTCTCTCCTCCTTACTCTTGGATAAATAAACAGCCTGTGAGACACAGGCAGCCTGGCCCAGTGTCTGTGGTCTGTGCCTTGGCCTTTGGGTCCTGGGGTGGCCCCTGCAGTCCCAAGATGGACCAGACCAAGGACTGGGGCACCTTTCCCTGGAGAAGAACAGACTTTTACCACATGGGCCAAAGAGAGTGTATTGGTTATCTATTGTTGTGTGACAAATTACCCCACATTTTTACAGCTTAAAATGACAAATATTCATTATCTCTTAGGTTCTGTGGGTCAGGGATTTGAGAGGGGCTAAGCTGGGCTGTTCTTGTCTCAGGGTCGTTCATGAGGTTGCAGTCAAATTGTCAGCTAGGGCTGCAGTCATCTGAAGGCTTGACTGGGGCTGGAGGATCCATTCCAATACTGCTCATGCACATGGCTGTGGGTAGGAGGTCTCCGTTCCTCACCATGTAGGGCTAACCCTAGAGCTGCTGCTTGAGTTTTTTCATGATATGGCAGTTGGCTTTCCCCACAATGAGACAGAAGAGAGAGCAAAGAGGAAGCCACAAACAGTGCCTCTTACGACCCAGTCTTGGAAGCCATACACTGTTGCTTCTGCTTTGTTCTATTTGTTAGAAGTGAGTCACTAAGTTCAGTCCACACTCAAGGGGAGGGGAATTAGGCTCCACTTCTTGAAGAAAGGAATGCCAAATAATTTGTGGATCCATTTTAAAGCCATCTTAGAGAGCTTCAGGACCCTTTCCTGCAGAAGGGAGGTGGAGTGGAATGTGTTTGGTGCTTCGGAAACTGCGATGTGCTGACTGGATGTGAGTGGGTGGTGGTTATGACTCCCTACTAAAATCACGACGACAACAGCAATGATGAATTTTTTTTTTTTTTTTTTTTTTTGAGATGGGGTCTTGCTCTGTCACCCAGGTGGGAGTGCAGTGGTGTGTTCTCAGCTCACTGCAACCTCCACCTCCCGGTTCAAGCGATTCTCCTGCCTCAGCTTCCCGAGTAGCTGGGATTACAGGTGCCCACCACTGCCCACCACCATGCCCCACTACTGTTTTGTAGTTTTAGTAAAGATGGGGTTTCACCATGTTGGCCAGGCTGGTTTTAAACTCCTGACCTCAAGTGATCCTCCTGCATCAGCTTCCCAAAGTGCTAGGACACCGCGCCCAGCCCAGAACTTTTTTTTTTTAACTTTTTTTTTTTTTTTTTTTTTGAGGCGGAGTCTTCACTCTGTGGCCCAGGCTGGAGTGCAGTGGCACCATCTCGGCTCACTGCAAGCTCCGCCTCCCGGGTTCGCGCCATTCTCCTGCCTCAGCCTCCCGAGTAGCTGGGACTACAGGCGCCCGCCACCGCGCCCGGCTAATTTTTTGTATTTTAGTAGAGACGGGGTTTACCGTGTTAGCCAGGATGGTCTCGATCTACTGACCTCGTGATCCGCCCGCCTCGGCCTCCCAAAGTGCAGGGATTACAGGCGTGAGCCACTGCGCCCGGCCTTTTTTTTTTTTTTGAGACGGAGTCTCGCTCTGTCGCCCAGGCTGGAGTGCAGTGGCGCGATCTCGGCTCACTGCAAGCTCCGCCTCCCGGGTTCACGCCATTCTCCTGCCTCAGCCTCCCGAGTAGCTGGGACTACAGGCGCCCACAACCGCGCCCGGCTAATTTTTTGTATTTTTAGTAGAGACGGGGTTTCACCGTGGTCTCGATTTCCTGACCTTGTGATCCGCCCGCCTCGGCCTCCCAAAGTGCTGGGATTACAGGCGTGAGCCACCGCGCCCGGCCTTTTTTTTTAACTTTCTAAAGGTTCAGTTTCTTCATTGTAGCCACGAGATAAAACAAAGATGATGTGCCTGGTGCAGTGGCTCATGCCTGTAATCCCAGCACTCTGGGAGGCTGAGGCGGGTGGATCACCTCAGGTCAGGAGTTCAAGACCAGCCTGGCCAACATGGTGAAACCCTGTTGCTACTAAAAATACAAAAAGTAGCCGGGCATGGTGGCACCTGCCTGTAATCCCAGCTACTCAGGAGGCTGAGGCAGGAGAATCGCTTGAACCTGGGAGGTGGAGGTTGCAGTGAGCTGAGATCGCGCCACTGCACTCCAGCCAGGGTAACAGAGTGAGATTTGGTCTCAAAAAAACAAACAAAACAAACGACAACAACAACAACAACAAATTAGCCGGGCATGGTGGTGTGCGCTTGTAATCTCAGCTACTTGGGAGGCTAAGACAGAATCATTTGAACCCTGGAGGTAGAGTTTGCAGTGAGCAGAGATTGCGCTACTGCACTCAGCCTGGGCCCCAGAGCGTGACTCCGTCTCAAAAACAAACAAACAAAAAAAATTGAGACCAGGTAACTTGACTTTGAGGCAATTACTTTTAGCTTACTTATAATGGCAGCATTGTTTCTTTGTGAAAATGAAACTTTCTCAGCTTATCCACTAAATTTTAAGCAACATCCCAAACCACCAAAGACTCACTCATTTTCCTTCTGGCCATCAGCAGTCTGGTGCCTTCATTTGGAACACCACCCCCCGCCCTATTTTTTGTTTTTGAGGTGGGGTCTCGCTTTGTTGCCCAGGCTGGAGTGCAGTTGCGGGATCCTGGCTCACTGCAGCTTCGGCCTCCCAGACTCAAGTGATCCTCCTACCTCAGCCTCCCAAGTTGCTAGGACCACAGGCCTGTGCCACCATGGCTGGCTAATTTTTTATTTTTTAACTTGTTGTAGAGATGGGGTCTTGCCATGTTGCCCAGGCTGGTCTCACACTCCTGAACTCAAGCAATCCTCTGGTCTTGGCCTCCCAAAGTGCTAGGATTACAGGCAGGAGCCACTATTCCCAGCCTTGGCCCCCTTTTAAGAATGGCGTGGCGAGCTGGGTGTGGCAGCTCACACTTGTAATCCCAGCACTTTGGGAGGCTAAGGAGGGTGGATCACTGAAGGTCAGGAGTTCAAGACCAGCCTGGCCAACATGGTGAAACCCCGTCTCTACTAAGAATACAAAAATTAGCCAGGTGTGGTGGCATGTGCCTGTAGTCCCAGCTACTTGGGAGGCTGAGGTTGTGGTGAGCCGTGATCACGCCATTGCACGCCAGCCTGAGCTACAAGGTGAAACTCAGTCTCAAAAAAAAAAAAAAAAAAGGCACAGTGGCCACTTCCCCTCTTGCCCCAGCCATGGCTAACATATAGACAGTGTGATCTTCCAGACACTGTGCATACATTATCTTACTGGGTCCTCACCATATACCTATATAGTGGGCACAGTTATCTCAGTTTCATAGATAAGAAAACCTGGGCTCAGAAGGGGAGAGTAAATTGCCAAATGTCACATAGCTATGAAATATCTGAGCTGGGATTCAAATCAGGTCTGTCTGACTTCAAAGCCCTTGTTCACTTTGGAGACTTTCTGGCCCTGCACTGTCCAACAGAAATATAACACAAGCCACTTATCAAATTTAACAATTTCTAGTAGCCACATTTTAAAAAGTTTTAAAAATAGATGAAAATAATTTTTAATAATATATTTTATTTAACCCAATGTACCCAAAATATTATCACTTCAACTCATAAGCGTTTACTAATGAGATGTTTTATAATCCTTTTTTGCGCTAAGTCTTGGAAACCCAGTGTATGTTTTATACCTCTAGCACATCTCTATTCAGATGTCAAATTTTTTTTTTTTTTTTTTTTTGAGACGGAGTCTCGCTCTGTCACCCAGGCTGGAGTGCGGTGGCCGGATCTCAGCTCACTGCAAGCTCCGCCTCCCAGGTTCACGCCATTCTCCTGCCTCAGCCTCCCGAGTAGCTGGGACTATAGGCGCCCGCCACCTCGCCCGGCTAGTTTTTTTTTGTATTTTTTAGTAGAGACGGGGTTTCACCGTGTTAGCCAGGATGGTCTCGATCTCCTGACCTCGTGATCCGCCCGTCTCGGCCTCCCAAAGTGCTGGGATTACAGGCGTGAGCCACCGCGCCTGGCCTCAGATGTCAGATTTTCATTGGAAATACTTGATTTGTATTCAGATTTTATAGCATTTACGGTAGAGTCACATACCCTTGTTCTAATCATTCTAAAGTCTTCCAATTACTGAGCTGTGCATCACAGTTTAAATTAAATGAAGTTCGGCGGGGCGCGGTGGCACACGCTTGTAATCCCAGTACTTTGGGAGGCTGAGGTGAGAGAATCAGGAGGTGAACTCTCACTACAACCTCCATCTCCTGGGTTCAAGCGATTCTCCTGCCTCAGCCTTCCGAGTAGCTGGGATTACAGGCATGTGCCACCATGCCTTGCTAATTTTTTTTGTTTTGAGACGGAGTCCCACGTTGTCACCCAGGCTGGAGTGCAGTGGCCCAATCTCGGCTCATTGCAACCTCTGACTCCTAGGTTCAAGCAATTATCTTGCCTCAGCCTCCTGAGCAGCTGGGATTACAGGCGCTTGCCACCACGCCTGGCTAATTTTTTTGTATTTTTAGTAGAGACAGGGTTTCACCATGCTGGCCAGGCTGGTCTCCTGACCTCCAGTGATCTTCCCACCTTGGCCTCCCAAAGTGCTGGGATTACAGACATGAGCCACTGTGCCTGGTCACTATATGTATATTTTTATATCTAGAATGAGATTTATTATAAGGAATTGGCTCAAGTGATTATAGAGGCCGAGAAGTCCTACAATTTGTCATCTGCAAGCTGCACACCGAGGAAAGGTGGTGGTGTAAATTCCAGTTTGAATCTAAAAGACTGAGAATCAGGAGTGCCAATGGTGTTTAAGTCCTAGTCCAAGGGCAGGAGAAGACCAATGTCTCAGCTTAAGCAGACAGGCAGAGAGATAGTTCAACCTTGCTCTGCCTTCCTGTCCTATTTGGGTCCCCGAGGGGTTAGATGATGTCCATCCAGATTGTGGAGTGCAGTCTACCAAAGCTAATCTCTTCCTCAAGAAACACACCCAGAAATAACATTTAACCAGATACCTGGGCAACCTGTGGCCCAGTCAAGTTGACACAAATAATTAACCAGCACAGTGTTCTGTATTATTTCCCAGTGTTCTCCAGCAGGATTAAGGCCTAGATGCCTGCAAGAAAGT